CCGCTCCCCCACCCCCACCCATGCCTTCCAGCCTCCGCACTATTTCCTTTCCTAGACTGGAAAGTTCAGGCAAACCCAGAGCCCTCTCATCTCCTTATTGAAATCAAGATCAAGCCCACGGTGGGGCTCCTGCGGCCCGGAGGTCACATGGGTGAACTTCAGGCCCTCGGATCAGTTGCCCTGAGGAACTGAGAGGTGACCAAGTGACCTACAGAACCGGACAGCTGGAGAGGGGGCCCCCACACTTCTGACGCACAGCGCTCTTACCAACATCAGCAACAGCAGCACCTGTACTGGCTGCTCCGGCTGTCAAATACAGGACTAGGAGGGAGAGAGGTTCTTCACTCACAGCCATGTGAAGAACAGTTTTTTAAAAACAAACATAACACAACTCTTTTCTCCTACACCACCTTGCTTCTGAGTCACTGATAGCCTCGACGTCTTAACTCTCAGCCCCTTTCCCCCCCAGCAGAGATGTCTGAGCACAGCCAGGTATTAGGTTTTATCACTGATACATAGCATCTGTTCTAATCCATTCAGTCAGCCACGTGCATTTCATGAAAGAGGAGAATTCTTTCAATTCTATCCTTCTGCCTTGAAAAAAACCAGGTCCACCTCCTAAATAATTAATTTCAAGTCTGCATCCAGTGCCAATACTTGTTGCATCCATTTTAGAGTTTGATTAATTACCCTGGAACTTGGGCAAACTAAACTCCATGTGGAGAGAATGTTTCTTCCTTCAATTTAGTTCTGAAAGCTACAAGTTATTGATGGCTCTTACTCTATTTACATACAAATTGGTGCAAATATGCCCATATCCTAAAAAGCATTTTGTATAAATATATAAAAGTGTCATTTTTGATTTAGCTTGAAGAGGTTGATCATTTATTACAAAAATAAACGAATAAATACAACAATATATTGTTGCTTCCAACAGGATAAATACTTTACAAATATATAATTTAAAAAACAAATTTAATTGTTAAAATTATTTAAAATATTACACTTATCGATAAAACTATCAATAGTATATACTGCATTTAATATTAGAACCAATTATTCTCTGAATGTTGAAAACCATACAAAACAGATTATGAGCATGGTAATAAGCGAACACTGGAGGCTACAGGGAAGTAGAGGGAATCTCTAAGATCAATAATGAACAGTTCTATTTTGGAACAAAGAAGTAGTCCTTGGCTAAGTACTTAAAAAAAAAAAAGGCAGAGCAACAACAGTAAAGTGACTATTTTAAATACACCTTGAATGATTTATCGCCCAGACCTGCAGGGGAAGATGGTTGGGTGAATGAGGTGACAGGGGCTTGGACAACTGATCAGAAGCCACAGGACACTGCAAACTATAAATGGGCCTAGCTCAGGATTAGCCAGATTGATGGAACAGAACTTTGTCACTTTCCTTTGGGTTGGAAGGGGAGGAGGGGGTGGATTGAAATGGAGGAAACAAATGGGCACTTTACGAAGCACAAGACACTTGCGCTGCAAAGGAACACAATGACCAAATTCATTAAAAAGATCTGGTGATATATAACAATATTTTCATTATTTACATGTGTAACAATATAAGCCTTAGCACAAAACCTCTCAGTTATAGCTGCCCTCTTTTGTTTTTCAAACATGAATTTCATCTTGTAAATACATTCAAAGGGTTGATTTTTTTAAAATATGGAGTGCAAGCATGAGCTCACTTTAAAAAATGCAAAATGATGAAATAAAATGGGCTTTCTTTCTCATCTTCTCCAATGAAAAGTTACTCGGCTACCCTTAAATCTGGGGCTCCTTCCAAAGTACTCAGCAAAAAGGTTGCTTTTTAATAGAAAACAGTGTGAAATCTAATGTTAGTTCTTTTGTTGTCAGCCAAATCAAGTAAGCAAATACCTCCTAAAATTTTAAATAGACCCATTCGCTGTCTAATCAACAACTACCATTCCTGTAGGGAAAATAGGATTTCATCTCACGTGCCAGTAGTATCCACCATATAAAAACAACCACACCCAGTCCTCAGCTTTCTCATAAGGCCTGTTTTGCTCGCCCCTGTAGACCCTCAGAAAATGATAAAGTTTGTCCCCACCCCCGACCCTCACTCCAGGTTGTAAATTTGCTGGGCAGAGGGATTACAATAGCAAGAGAAAAAGTAGGAAACATGAAGGCAAAGAAAAGTAAATTGTGGTTTCTTGTTTTCATTTTTTTCCTTCTCTCTGTTTAATAAATAAATATGGCCTTTTTCAGATTTCACAAATCAAAATGATTGTGATTTTGAGTACGATTTGGTGTTTAAAATAATGCAACCCAATACATGGCCATCTGGCTGGGCTTGATTTATGAAAATGACACAGGGTCTGTCTGGAAGAAATAACTGTTCCTTGTTGCTCTCACAGTTTTCCGGGTTTTTTAACCCCTGCATCGATATCAGAGGAAGAGAGAGGAAGATGAGAGAAGTCAGAGAGTGAGTGACAGCTAATTGAGATTAGGAGGAAATTATTCCATAAAATCATTGCTTTATCACTCCCAAATACTTTTTAAAAGTATAATATGAAGGGACTCCACTAAGCAGAGTCCTTTTGCATCTGTAGTACTCACAACCTGAGGCATTACGCTTTCATTTTCCCACATTGTAAATATTGATACATTAACTTGATAAATGTGACCGCTCTGCATGGTGTATCTAAGGAGTGATCAAAAGAAGCTCAAACCCCCAGCACCAGTAAAGGAGATAAGGACTCATACTGGGGAAGGACAGGAACATAGAAAGTCTGAGCTGGTAATCACACTGAGGGTAATGCAGTGTGGACTATAATCAGGATTTTAGAGCTACATTCTTTCCTTACAAAAAGAACAACCAAAAACAAAAGAGAAAACCCAACACAGCTTAATAATTGAAACTGAACTTCATATAGTTATTAATGGGAAGTGAGTGATTAATATAAAAATACTTTGTAGACTTGTAAGCTATTCTTTACAACTGTTAGTCTTCAGAAAAAGAGGAAAGAGACCTAGCAATATGGGGGGGGGGGGGAAGAAGGGAGGCAAAGTGAGGCTGAACTTGGGTGGGGAGGGGGAGCTCTGTATTAACCATTAATAACCAGTTGGCACATTTTTACTGGTGATGTAGCCCAATCTTCTGGTCAAGATGATAAAGGACACAGGTATCTCTGAGAAAAAGACTAATACTTAGACAATCTCACCTAAACACACTAAAAACACCCACTAAAACCAAGGGAGGGAAAAATGTTGTGAAGTTTACGGATTAAGGAGGAGTGACAACTATGTTAAAGTACTAGAAGTTTCTGTCAGGTCTGTCTTTGACTCCGTATTTCCAAATATACCTTAGGTGGAGCAGGGCTGTACTTCCTCAGTACTTTCACTTAAGGATTTGCATTAGTAAAAAAATATTTTCTAAAGAACTCTTTTCTTCCCACATAGTGTTTATGCATCAGACACAGACTATTTCATTCTAACAAATTTATTTTCTCGATCAGCTCTTATGGAATCACTACTCAAATTAAATTACAATCAAATGATCACATCAAAAGATACCCTTACTACCTAGCAACTGTCCATATTTTCATTTCATTTTGATTTGTGCTCGTCTGAAAAAAACACGTAATACAAGATCTGGGGAAAAATAAATTACCGTTTTGCAGCAGTTCATAAGTATTCTGAATAAAATATTAAAAGAAGTCATTTAATGAAAATATAAAGCAAATATTTTTAGATCAACAACGGATCTAACAATTCTATATTGCCGTCTTTTGAAAAGTCTGTTTATTAAAACCTACCAAAAACACTGCTTGGAAATGGCAGTATTATATAATCACATCCACAGCACCCATTCAATCAAAGTTGGCAACGGATTGAGGAGAGAAGTCCAGAGGAGTGCAGCGGCTGGTGCTCAGTCCTTCTAAATCTCTTTATCTGAGTCAGTCCAGAAATAAAAAATAAAAAATATTAATAAAAAAAATATTAGCGGTGGAATCTTTAGGCCTCATCCACCCGAGTGACCGCCGTTAAAGCCGGGGTTGGTGGCGGGGCCTCGCTCGGCGCCCAGTCCGCCCGCCCAGCCCGACTCAGCCTGGCCTCTCCCACTCCTCGGCAGAAGTCCCCTTCTTCCTCGCCCGTCCCTTTGCTCTTTCGAGATGCTTTATTTCCAAGGTTACTTTGAGGATACTTTTTCTTTTGGCTTTGCTATTCAGTCTGTTAATTTCAAAAGCTGTGAATATTTTCTTTCTTTCTTTTTTTCCTGAAGACCGTTCTTTGTTTTCTCCTTCCTATTTCATAGTCCATTTGTCCCCAAATGACTTTAACATGGCCAAGAAAAACAGGGCCCCTGAGCGGAGTCATATCCTGATGACACCCGGTGCCTCTGCTTTCTTTCACGTCGCCCCCAGGAAAGAAAGTTTTGGTAGATCACTTTAGTCAGCCCTTTGGAGGGGGAGTGAAAAGGAGAGCGGGGCGGGGGGAGGGGGGAGCTCCTTTTTTTTTTTTTTTAAGAGGCGAGGACCAGGCAGGTGCTGGGTGCTGTCCACTGTTGCCATGTAGGACTTCCTAGGGTGGGGAAAACCTCCCGGAGTGCAGTTTTGGTGCGCTAGGCATCTTCACCCTTCTTTAGAAAGAAAAAAGAAAAACAAAAAGGAAACACCACCACAGTATAAACGAGATCTCATGATCGCCTCCTTTTTCTCTTCCGGTTTTGTTTGTTATATATACGTATATAAAACAGTCTGGGTATTTGTTACGCTTTTGTTTTGTTTTGCCCCTCCTTCCTTGGACTTCAGAAATGTCTCCGTGGTCTCCCTCTCTTTCTCTCTCGCTCTCCTCCAAGGGCAGGCATGTTTGTCTTTGGGCGGAGGGAAGGGCGGCGGACCGGCCCGGGCCCGGCTCGGCCCCTGCGGGGTCGGTGCGGCGGCGGCGGCGGCGGCGGCGGCGGCGGCGGGGGTTGGCGGCGGTGCTGACAGCGGCTGCGGCGGCGGCGGCGGCGGCCCTCTTCGCCCTGCGCCCCTCGCCTTCACTGCACGCTCGTCTGCAGTCCGTGGTGCGGCGGCGGCGTGTCGGCGCTCACGGTGCCCACCTGCGAGTAGACGTCGTCGGGTGTCTGCTGTTGGATCCCGGGCGGCGTCATGCGCTTCTCCTTCTGGCGCCGGTTGCAGAACCAGACCCGCACCACCTCCTTCTCCAGCTGCAGGCTGTCGGCCAGGTTGGTGATCTCCTGCGCGGAGGGCTTGGGGCACTTGAGGAAGTGGCTTTCGAGCGCGCCCTTGACGCTCACCTCTATGGAGGTCCGCTTCTTGCGCTTGCGGCCCTGCGCCGCGATCTTGTCGATGCTCGTGGGGCTGCCGGTGCTCGAGTCCGCCTCCTCCAGCCACTTGTTCAGCAGCGGCTTGAGCTTGCACATGTTCTTGAAGCTCAGCTGCAGGGCCTCGAAGCGGCAGATGGTGGTCTGCGAGAACACGTTGCCATACAGCGTGCCCAGCGCCAGCCCCACGTCGGCCTGCGTGAAGCCGAGCTTAATGCGCCGCTGCTTGAACTGCTTGGCAAACTGCTCCAGGTCGTCGGACGTCGGCGTGTCCTCGTCCGAGTGCGGGTCGTGACTGTTGAGTCCGGGCCCCGCGCCGCCGCCGCCGTGGTGCGGAGGCCCCTGCGCGTGGTGCGGGTGAGGCGGGTGCGGGTGCGCGTGGTGGTGGTGGTGGTGGTGGTGCTCGGCCAGCTCGGGCGTGTCCCCGCGCACCAGCCCCGGGTGCACCAGGCTCTGGGCGCCACCGCCCGCGCCGCCGCCGCCGCCACCCGGGCCCGGGGGCGCGCTGAGCATGCCGTTCACCGTGAAGCCCCCGGGCTGCGAGTAGAGCAGACTCTGCGGCGGCGGCTGCTGGCCCCCGGCCATGGACGGGAGGTGTGCGGCGGCAGCGGCGGCGGCGGCGGCGGCGGCTGCGGCGGCGGCGGCCCCCCAGCCCCCCGGGTGGCCCTGGTGCGGGGGCGGCGGCGGGGGCCCGAGGTGCGGGGGCCCGCGGTGGTGCAGCGCGGTGCCCGCGTGCAGGTCGTCGCGTCCGGAGCCGCCCTTCACGTCGGGGCCCTGCGGCGGCGGCGGCGGCGGCGGCTGTGGCGGCTGCTGGGGGCTGCCGGCCATGCCCACGGCGCTGCCGGACCACGGCGAGCTCGCCTCCACGGCGGCGGCGGCAGCGGCGGCGGCGGCGGCGGCGGCGTGGGGCAGGGCCGTGACCCACTGGTGCGCGTGGCTTAGCATATGGCCGCCGTTGCTGGCGGCCATGGCCCCCTGCATGAAGTCGCTCTGGACCATCTTGACGGAGGACGGGTCCCCTCGGTAGGCGCCTGAGGTCACGGCGGCGCTGCCGGGCTGCATGCCGCCCCCGCCGCCGCCCGCGCCGCCGCCGCCGCCCCCGCCGCCCCCGCCCCCGCCGCCGCCGGCTCCCGCCGCGTCCGAGTGTACAATGGAGCCGGCCGCCAGCAGGCTGTTCCCCGGCAGGTAGGGGTTAGAAGCCGCCGTGGCCATGCCGCTCCGCTCCCGCCACCCCACCGCCGCCACCACCGCCGCCGCCGCAGCAGCAGCCGCGGCCGCCGCCGCCGCCGCCGCCGCGCCCCCCCGCCTCCCGCCTCCGCCCCCCCCTCCTCCCCCGCCCCCGCCCCGGGCCCCGGCCGGCCCCGCCGCCTTCGCCGCCGCCTCCTCCTCCGCCGCCTCCGCCCCCGCCGCCGCCGCCGCCGCCGAGGCCCCCGGCTGCAGCTGCAAGGCCGCTCGGCAGGGCGCGGGGGTCGCCGGCCGGCCTTGGTCAGCAGCAGCAGCAGGAGCAGCAGAAGCAGCGCTCTAGGGAGGGGGGCTCGCTTCTCGGGGCGCGCTCCGTGGCCGCCCCCTTCAGGGGGGGTCGTGGCCGCCCCCCAGCCCCGGCGCGTTCCGCTCGCTCCAGCGGGGCTCACCCGGCAGGGCGCGGGCCTGCGCTCCGGGCTCTTTGGCGGGGCGCGCCGGCTGTCCTCGGGCGAGCACGGACTCTGCCCGGGCGCGGGGCTCAGTCCACCTGCTAAGTGAGGATTTCACGGGAGACAACAAAGAAAGCAGCCGTTCCTTTCTTCCTTGACCAAATTATGGATGACCAGCAACGGGACCGCTGCTTCCCTCGCCTGCTCGCTTCTCTCCTCCTCAGGAACACATTTCACTCGTTTTCCCTTAGAGTAGTAAAACTTTTTTTCCGTCCTTGAAGGCGTGGTGATGCTGGCTGCTCGCGTGTGTGCGGAGAGGAGAGGCTGGCTCCTGCTCTCCTCCTCTGGTCCTTTCGTTTCAAGTTTTGTTCTGTCCTAGGAAAACTTCTTGCGATGGTGCATTTTCTGAAGTTGCTATTGCCGGAGCTCTTGGTTGCCTCTGAAACAAGAGTCCTTTTTCATTCTCCTCGCAACAGTCACAGTCTGATGCGACATCTTTCCTTTTGGGCAGAAATTAGGAAACAAATATAACAAGGAAAAAAATTGAAAAGGAGAAAAATGAGGTCGAATGGCTCTGTTACCTTGTTGCTGACGGTTGGGGTTGGTGTTTTATTTTTTTCCCAGCAGTTGTCTGGAGGAGGAGGAGGAAGAAGAGTGCATTGGTGGAGGTGGAGGTGTGTGTGTGCATATAGGGGATCCTTGATACACAACCAACTCCAGTGGGCACGTTGCACGGCTCGTAGAGTGCACCGACGGCGCTGGCGCTGGCCGAGCCGGAGCGGAGTTGCAGCGGGAGCTCGCTCTGCGCCCTCGTTCGCGCTCTCTCTCCCTCTCTCACTTTCCCTCTCCCTCCCTCTCTCTCTCTCACTCCCTCTCCCTCGCTAGCCCGCCCGCTCTCGCTGGGATCTGACAGTTCGCTCTCTGTCCCTCCCTCTCAGAGCAGGGACTGTCGAATGTTTACCCTCCGCCGCGAGCGCGCACCCACCACCACACTTTCCCAAATACAAGGAAGTCGAGCACCAGGGCCCCCGCTGATTGGCTACCCGCTGGGTGATTGGCAGGCCCGGAATGACTGGCTCAGGACGCGCGGCCCCCCTTCCGGCCGTTCCGATTGGTTGCTTTTTAATTTAGGCAGAGCGTCGTAGAAGCTGGAAATCTGTCGTTCCCCCCGCCCCCCCTCCTCCCTCCCCCTCGCCACTTTCTCCTCTCTGCCCCTCCCCCGCCACCCCCTCCGCCACATCTTAACTCTTAGTGTCCGGCCGAGGCGCAGGCGTTCCCTCCGCGGCTCTGTGGGTTCGCAACCGGTCTGGGATGGGGGATGAAAGGGGAGAGAAAAGGGAGGGAAGGATGGGAGAAGGGGGGGAGGGAGGAGTTAGAATCAGAAGGAATATGAAGAGGGGGGAAAAATAATGAAAAATAGCAACCTACCCACTTCACCTAGTACTGCGTTGTGTTGCCGCCCTCCCCGCTCCCCACCCCCATCCCCTAGATTTGTAAAGCGCGCGGCAAGAATGCACCATTCACGCTAATACCTATAGGCAGTTGTATCCCCAGTGGTTTCAAAGTTTCCTTTTTCTTTCACCAGCCGGCCCCCATTTCTGTCTCGGCGGGGGTGGAAAGGGAGAGCTCGCATCGTAAAGGGCTCGGGTCGTGGCCACGCTCCTTGGAAATCCGCCACCGCAACTTTCCGCAGCCGCTTTGCGCCGGTGGCGGCCCCCTTTGTTTAAGTTCTCGGATGCCATCATCTGGGAAACCTGCAGCCCAGGACCAGCGCGGTGCCCGCGCGTGCGAGACGGACCGCTCGCTGCCGCGGCTCGCTCTCTCCCCCACCCCCTCTCTGCCTCTCCGCTCTCCCTCCCTTCTTCCCTCCCCCCCTCCTCTGGGATTCTAGCAAGTAGCGTGCGTGTCCTTGTGTGTTTGGAGGGTGCCGGTCAGCAGAGCCCTGCGATGTATTTGAAAAGCAATCAGTCGACCTTTCCCTATAGATCCGGCGTAAGTGTATTCCACCCCAAAGGCTCGAAATTCCCAATTGCAGCAGGAGCCGGCCTAAAGAACCAGGATCCACTGGCCGCGCCCTCCACCGCTTACATTGTGCGTGCGTGTGTGTGTCTACATATATGTTTTTTTCACTATGGTTATTAGTGGTGTTTTGCTTGCTCGCTATTCTTAGACACATTGGTGCTTTTTCTTTCTTTTCTGTCTCAGATGGGCTTGCGTAGTGGATGGGTTGGCGGCGACAAACGCTTTCTCAGCTCCAGCCCCACTGAAAGAGTTAAGGGGGACGGGAGGGGGCGCGCGCAGGGTAGGCGGGAGAAGCGGGGGTGGGGGGGACGCGGCCAAGCGGAAACGCTGCACAGAGGAACCTCAGCGAACCAAGAAAAAAGAGAAAGTGGCAACGAAAACAAGGGCAAATTGAACCCTCCTCGGGGATTTCCAATGAACTAACCCAACTCGGACATTCAATAAATACATCGTTCCTAATGAGGGTGCGTGGGCGTGCACCCCGCACCCCGGGTTGCGGGTGCGCCATCCCTGCGCTCGCTGCCCCCAGCCTGCTCTGCAGCCGTCAGTCCCGAGCTCCCGCGGCTTCCGCCGCCGAGCGTCGGCCCTGGAGGTAGACGCAGAGCCACCGGTGTGCTCCGACTAAAATGTGAACGGGGCTGCCCTCTCCCGATGAATAATTCCTCCGGCTGAACGCAGTTAGGTGAACTCAGTTAAAGCCAGAGCTCTCCAGCCGCAGCTACGCAGCTTTTGCGTGATCTCAAGATTAACAGTAGACGCGTAGGATTTATGTAGGATCCCGTCCAGCTGCAGCTTGCCGGGTGAGAAATACCGTCGTAGGTAGGTTTTAGCAAAGCCATTATTGCTAAGGTATAGATCTGAAAGGCGTTGGTAACCAAGTCCCAAACAGAACGGATTTTTTTTTTTTCCCTCTACGTCCCCCTAAGGTTCCTTTTTATATTTATGTATGTGTATATGTATATATAAAAGATGGAACACAGATTTCATTGAATAAATCTGAGATCTCCAGGTGCAGACGTCTGAATAGTCGGTGCCAGCACCCCGTGTTTTCCTTTCCTGCCGATTTTGCTTGGATCCGGCTCAAAAACCGAGAGAGTCTCGTGGTTTTGTTTACACTGAATGGGGAGGATAGGAACAGAGCCATGGGGCCGCCTTTCATTAATATACAGTGAGGATTTTGTCTAAATTACTGCTATGAATTTCACAGTACACGCTTTCAAAAGCAGTCTCAGGTGGCCTGATGAAACGTGATAGCGCCTCTGCAAACAGATCCACTTTCTTTCTTTTCAAGGAGGGTGTGTGTGCGTATGGGAAGACCCCCAAAACGCTGTGCTCCTCGATAACAGAAATACACTTCTGTTCCGATGTCTGTCCCCTTCGCCCCCCCCACCCCCTTTCCGAGTACTTACTTCTCCAGTCGCTCCCCAGCTTCCCCCCACCCGGCCCCACCCCGTCCGCCCCCTCCCTTTGCTGAGTGTGATTGTTTTGTCTGGAAAAAAAAAATCCAAAGTATATAACAAGGGGAGAACAGTTAGTGCTGATTTTCATTTGCATACATTTTCATATATTTTGGTGAAAATAATAGACTGGTGGAGAGCTGGATTTAGAGGAGTCAGTGTAAAGGGAAGACTAAGGATGCATCGGTTCTGGGGAGTTGAGAATATGCCTTTACCCCCACAGGCACCTTTAAAAAAATAATAAAACATCTTCTTTTATTTTAAAATCTAAGCCTGGAAGTTTGCTGGGTAAGTGTTTTTCATTTTCTTTACCGGCTTTCTCTTTTTCTCCCCCTCTTTTCCCGTTTATTTATGCTCTTGTAGGTTTGGGAGCGTATTTTTATTGCTTGGGACAAGAGAGGGTTCACAGAGCAACCGTTTTGAAGGAAGGAAGGGAAAGTGTGTTCGGGGAGAGTAAAAAAAAAAACCAACCCTGCTAAAATATTACATAAAAAGATGGACTCATTCCAAAGCTCCCCACAGTGAGGCATTTCACTTTTGGGGGTGGGGGGAGAGTCCTGTTAATTTTAATTGTTGATTGTGAGGGGCAAAAAAAAACAAAACAAAACCCTAGAAACGCGATTAGAAAGCACTAAGTATTATACATATTTCTTGTTTTGTTTTGTTTTGTTTCTTCTAGAGAATCAGGACTAGAGGGGAAGATACCCCCTTTCTGTAGCCAGAGCTGAAGTGGTGACCTGTGTGTGCATATCTGGGATTGTTGGGGCGGGGGAGGAGGATTCCTGCTGGGAGCCGGGGGATGGGGGGGGGGGGGGCTTGGCAAAGGGAGGGCCCAGAGCTGCGGGTGGAAGGAAGCTGGGGATGAAGAAGAGGCAGGAAGTCAGTGCACCCCTGGTTAATGCGGGGTCTGGGGAACAGTCTTAGTTGCTGCCTCCCAGCTCGGTAGTGAAAGCCCATCTGAAAAGAGGGTGATCAATCAAAACTAACCAGGACATCCTACACTTTATTCCCAAAGGAAGCTGGAGCTTTAGCATGGAAAACTAGGTTTTACTTTGTTTTCCATTTTGACAACCGGCCTTGCCCCCCTCCTTGCCACTGTCCC